ACTTTTTTTATATCTAGCTAATCTTTTACTAAAAAATATTAATAAAAACATTTACTTTCCTCTTCATTACCTTTTCAAAATCATGGCAGAAAATTTATGATGTTAACAAGGCAAAATCAAGGAAGGAAGGGGACTTCGTAAATTATCAATTCTAAAGTAATAAACCATCGTTTCCTTCCAGAAGATTTTCACAAAATTCCAGATACTGGCACGTGGTATTAATGCAATCTTACAATAGAAATTAATGAAGTAAACAAACAGCTAATATTATTCAAAAAATATTATCAAGATGAGAACAAAGTACCTTTTTTTCAAGTCAAATAAATATGAGATTAGCTGGAAATTCCCTCATATAAAGTAATTTTTGAAATAAAAATATTATTCATTTTCCTAAGTTATGTCAAATACATACACGCACAAAAACCTGTTAAAATGTTTATATCCTCTTACAGGGAAAAGCCCTGAATCATTTAGTATCTCTTAAAAATTAATGTTTCAAGCAAGTAAAAAGTTCACCAGATCTCTATGGTTTTAACTATTGTTCCAAATTAATCATACTCCTCAACCTCATCCCCAACTCCAATGGCATTTTCCTGGATTACATATTTATTACATAAGACTGTTATTTTTTAATTTTGTTTATTCACATTTGCAGTTTTGTGTACTCCATTATACTATGGTTATCCTTGGGATTTCTTTCATACACTTCAAAAATTATACTGTGATTAGAATTATTCATGTGCATCTATCTTGAAAACTTGGAACAATACTACCCCAAATTTATTTTTAGGGTAGCTCCCACAGTATTCCACATTAATTACATTAAAAGACATTAGCCAGAAATTCTAAAACTACTTCGTTTTGTTGAAGCACTTTGGATTTTTTGTTTGGTTGGTTGGTTGGTTGGGTTTTTGTTTGTTTGTTTGTTTGCTACCTTCCTACATTAGTAACAGTATTTTATAAACCTAATAAATTTAAAATTGCATGCCTTCATTATATGAAGAAAAACAAATTTTTGTTTTGCAGTACTGGGGACTGAACCCATGGCCTTTAACATTCTGACTGAGCTACATCCTCAGCCATTTATATTTTGAGACAAGGCCTCACTGAATTATCCAGGCTGAGCTAGAACTCAGAATGGACCTTCCAGAATGCTGCTGGCATTATAGGCTTGTGCCACTACACCCAGCTAAAAAAATCATATATTCTTAATGACTAAAATAAATGACATTATTTTTAAATATTTATAATCATATAACACAAAAATATTTACCAACATAAGTTTATTGTTTTAAATGTTTAATTTTTGTGTCCTCAGTTACTTTAATAGGACTTTACCAAAAGACAATTTTTGAAAGACTGTACTACAACCACCTTTGCTACTGTCCCTTGGAAAGTGGCTCTTTTAAATGAGGTCTTATGCTAACCAAACACTTCCCATCTCATTCAGCAGTTGGCATGATCTCTTCATTTCAGCAGAGATGAAAGTCCCTGGGATCTCAAAAACATCTACTATGCAACAGCAACTGAGATTTGTCATTAGCATTATATTTAATTTTTTTTAAAGTAACAAAACAAAACAAAGAAACAAAGAAAAAAATAAAAACAAAAACAAAAATCTATCTAAGCCATCTTTTCACCTTTCTTTATTTCATGAGAGAAGCATTTAACACATTCATTTGATGAGCAATAAGGAAGTGCTAATGAAGCTCTTGCAATAAAATCTGTCTTATCAATGCTGATAAACTTCAACTTTTATAATACAATAACAGAGCTCAGCAATTACGGTTTTATGAGATAAAACAATAATTTTAGCACAAAGTTTTTAGATCAAATTATTTTTGTTGCCTCTATATACAAAGCATTGCCAACTTCTCTTGTCAAGAGAAAATTCTATTGCACTCAAAATTCAGATTATTGATCTTATTTACATCCAAATTCAGAATATGTGTCAGGTTATTAAATGGATAATCTGTTTGCAAGAGTATTGTTAATAAATGGATAATATCTGTTTCCAAAGTATTGTTATCACTAAATAAGACTTATGAAGGCCCCTATGCTGTACTTTTCTTTTCATTTTATCTGTGATGAGAAAATGACGAACATGGGACTTGAATCCCCTGAAGACAGAGTCTCAGCGTCTGACTTACCTGACAAGATTTTCATTGTCTCCAGTTCCTTTGCATGTTGCACATTCAGTTCTTAAATCTTCAGCCTTGGGCTTCTTTTGTAATACAGACTGTCTTTGTCTTCTTTCTCTAGGAACTCTTTCCTGCCATATAAGCGGAATAAAATATAATGAAATTACAATCTGAGGGAAACAAATTATTTAAGCAAGAACGTTTCTCAAAATTTAGACTGTAAAAAGTGCTTAACTTATTCCAACCTCATGTTTTTCTTCCTCAGGAATGAAGCTTCTTTTCCGTCCTCTGGTTCTCTAAAAGAAAAGAAAATCCACAAAAATATCTAATGTGTAAATAATAATGAAAATAAATTTTCTGTTAAATGTTACTACTTAAGTTACACTTGGAAAATTATTATTTCTAATTAATGTTAAACCACTTCACCGCATTGTTACAATTTGTGTCATACAGAAGAAAAGCATAACAAAATAAACACACTTTAAAGTGTTTTACTTTTAAATACATATTTGAAGAGTTATCCCTATTTATACTTAGGATTTTTTTTAATATTTCATATTAGCCACATAATTATGATTTGCTCTGTGCATTTAACATTTCATAACTTATCTCATGACGTTTACAGCTGAAACACTAATAAACCCGGAGAGTCTATCACATCTACTGTTTGCTAACACCTGTGAACGTACATGTTTTTTCAATGCAAAGAAACAATTCTTAAATTACCATTAAAAGGCAGAGGAAACAATCTCACAAGTCCTGAAAGACTAGTAAAACTGAAGAAAAGAATTTAGGTACAATTTTACAACTCATATCTTAGAACATGTTTGCCATTTGAAAAAAGGAATCCAAATCTTCAAAAGTAGTGTTTAGTACTTGCAGCAAATATGTGTAAAATCTCCACCCACACAGTAGAGCCTCTGCAGGTTTATGGTCTCCAAATTCAGACTGCTGTTCTTTAGAGACCAGAAGAGTCACCCTCAGAAGTTACTCATACCAAAGTTACAGTAGGTATCAAGTAATTCCAAATATAATTACTTTCTAAAATATTTCCTTAAATTACTATAATTTCAATTCTTCACAATATAAGGTCCATTGTTATTTAATAACATGGCTAATCCCAAAGTATTTAATCTGCCCCAGGATAACCACGAGTCAATTAAAGTCATTCTAAAAAAGTGAACTTATAGGCCGTGTACTCATTTACAATTGTTATTACCAGTGAGCATGGTTTAATTATATTATGGAGTTAATTAGGAAGAAAAAAAACAGAACTACATCCAGAAAAGATCTTTTTTTTTTTTGGTACCGGGGATTGAATTCGGGTCCTTGCGCTTGCAAGGCAGGCCACCAAACCCCTGCACTAAATCCCCGGCCCCCAGAAAAGATCTTTAAATGCAGGCCCCACACCTAATAGCATCACTCTCAAAGAACAGTAGTAAGTCCTGCTTCTAGTTAACCATGGTTCATAAGCACTGGCATCTGCTAAGCACCTGTTGGAAACTCAGAATCTCAGGCTTACTTCAATAAGTTAAATTAGAATCTGCCTTTTAACAAGAATCCCAAGTAAGTCACATATACATTAAAAGCACCAGTACAGAAGATCAATAACGTTTACTCAAGTTCTAACTGAATCTTTATTCTACATTCTTCTCTTTCCTTTTTGTGATGCTCTTATTTTTCAATGCTTCAATTTCTGCCCCAGAAAAAAATTCATCTTAAAATTGGTAAGGACGAAGTTACATTAATTTTTCTATAACCAATTAAATTTAATCATATTATATAAAGTTTCAAGAATTATGTTTTAATAAAGTAAATAAGACAAACTAATAAAGGATACTATATAATACAAGTGTTAAAAGATCTGACAAAAAGTTTTGGTTATTTTTTCCTTTTCTGATGATTATCCACTTCCATATTTTATATATACATAACCTTTCAATATAGTTTTAGAATAGTAAATTATACTAAGAGGAAAAGATTAAAGTTCAATTAATTAGTTCAATTAATTTCTGAACAGAATCTCTGTTCAAAAGGCCTTCACACATTTCCACACTCTCTTCATTTAACCTATCTTTTAGGTAATGCAGTATCATCTAGTTTTGAATTAATTTTTCAAGTATTTTTGCTAATGCTCCAAGTTCATGTTTTCATTTCCTTTGAAGGAGTGTAATTACAAATAGAGCATCTCTTATGCAAAATGGTTGCCACCAGCAGTTTTTTAGATTTAGAAGTTTTCAGATTTCAGAATATTTGCATAGACTTTACCAGTTGAACATTTTTAATCTCAAATTTAAAATATGATGCAATCTGAAATACTCCAAAATTTAATTTCCAACTAGAAAATCAAGGTGGTTATATGACAATGGAATATTACTAGATCAGAAAAGAATCTAGAGAAATGACTTGCTTCTATCACCTAACTGATAAGTGGCTAAGTTAAAGCTCAAATTCAAGTATCTGAACTGCAACTTAATTTTTTTTGCATGTTATATTCAAAATTAACAGCTTATTCTCAAGTAATTAGTAAAATGAGAAAGCTAATCTCTTACTTGATTACTTAAATAAACACTATCACTATGATGCTCAGTGAAAATCTTTTACATTTCAAAACAAGTAAACTGAATAATTATACCAAAGAAAAATTTCAAATTGGTATTGTGTTCTGCTTAATTTAGCAGCCCATATGGCAAAATGATTAACATGATCCATTACCAAAGTAATATATAAGCATATTTCCTTAGCATTTATGAAATTAGTTTTTTAAAAAAAGGATTTAATTCAGTACAACTCTTCAAAATACCAAGTCTTTACAGCAAGACAATATTGAGAACTATAGGTTTTTTCCTGAAGTGCCAGCAACTATAAGCATAAAGGTTCTTAAGATAAGAACAAAATATGTTAGACATCATGTCCCTAAATAAACCGTAAAGCTTAAGAGAAGCTTGTAAGAGGGAGAAAGATAAAAACTTTTGGCTCATCTCACAGATAATAGTTAAAGAGCTTGTCCCATCTCAGATGCACAGAAGTACTAATAGTAACAGGGTGATCATTTCATGATATTTGTAGATGTGTTGACAAACTACATTAGAAACAAAGCAACAGGATGAAAAATTTTACTTTAGGATGTAATACAGATACACTATCTACAAGTTCCAAATACTTAAGGGTTCATTTATAAACTGTGCTTTGACTTTGAAAGTAATTATTAAATCATTAAAAGTAAATGAAAATATGAATCTCATTCCAAATCATGACATATTCCAATTTTTTCTATTGTTTTTTGAGAATTCGTTTTTACCCAGAGAAAGCATAAGGGCTTATTTGGGATCTGTTTGTAGAAGTTTCAGTCACAGTTAACTGACTCCAGGGCTAGACAGAAAGGCAGAAAGGCACAGCAGGAGTAAAAGTGCTGGCTTGGGATGGTGGCAGGAAGCAGAGAGAGATGGGGTTGGGGGGAGGAACAGCCTTCCAGGCCACAGCCCCACTGACCCATCCTCCAACTAAGACTTCACCTTCCAACAGTGCTTTTATCTATAAGCTACTGATGAGTGTCACATCCCCATGATTCAATTACCTCCCAAAGGCCCCACGTGTGAGCATAGGAAGCTTTGGGGGCATATCCAGATATAAACCATAACATCAGGTGTCATTTTAATAGTTTATTCATCTGAAACAATGAATTAAATATTTTAATTTTAATTAGCTCTTTGGAACTGGTGTTATTTTAATTTATATTTGTTAAATACATAATAATTTTCCCAAGATTAGCATGATTTATTTTGCAAATGAGATAAATTTAAAACTTTTTAAAAGACAAGGAATGCTTCATCATCTTTCATTATCACTATGCTGGGTTTCACATGTTTGCTTATGAACTATTTTCTCTATATATAACTTTTTTTGGTAACACATAAATAAGGATCACCTCTATATAAATTATATATTAAAAAACACACTTAAGTATGAAAAAAATTCCAAATTCAATTTAAACAGGAGAATTAAGTCAAACCTTCAAAACTGTCTAGTGTTAGATTTATGATAAGAATAAATATGAGTAACTTTCTGGCAGGTTTTCAAAATGCTTCAGTAGCAGTTGTATCCATATGTACATTATACAATTACTAAAAAGTTTCCAATGGGAATTACATTGAAGATAAATCACAGATTAAAATTCATAAAATAGTAAAAGAAATACTGTGCATTTTTTTGCACATAAAAACAAGGTGTGAACAGAGTTCCATCTGTTTCTGTTGGCTATCAACAAACAACAGATGTAATAGTGTTCACCAAAGTGAGTGTTTTCCCTTCTGGTCAATAGGTTTTGGAATTTATTTTTATCTAATTTAATTTATATAACAGGGTTATAAAAATAGTTGAAGAATAAAAAGAAAATCATGACCAATATGGCTTAAGTACTATAAATTAAAATAACTATAGATCTAAATATAAAAATTACATTTTACATAAGTAGGTTTCCTATTAAAAAAACCTTTCTGGTTGATAATGATGTATAAAAAGTAAAATTCTGAAGCTTCATCTATTCTCATTCTCTTTATTTCATAGTCCCTAAAATGAATCAAAATAATGACTTTCCAAGAGGCAAAAACAAAACAGGAGCTTTTAGGTTCTGAATAAGATTATTTGAGCTAGGATGCCCAGGGTGGATCTTCATCCTACTTTTCCAGGGTACACAGTTTGAGTGAGTCAAGGATGTTCCAGTTCATCACAGAGTTGTTCACCGGGGTTTCTTTAAGGTGACAATCGCTTCTCAGCCTTTTGGCTAAGATCAAGTAAAGACTTCACAACAGAGAGATGTTTTATAATCTGTTTAGTATATCAGAAGTCACCTTGAGTCTGGTAATAAGTATCTCTGGTATCTAAATCACCCATAAATAATTTGGCTTTCCCAGGACTACAACAACCCAAATTATTAGTACAAAAATAAGTAAAATAATACAAGACACGATATACAGTAAACTTGAGTCATTCCAATAGAATAAAATCCAATTTTTCATGTGTGTGTGTGTGTTTGTGTGTGCAGAAATTTAATATCTTTAGATTCTCAAGATTGTGGTCCTAACATTATTAAATGACTGCTTTGCATATCTGTAAAACCAGTTAGAACAACACAATTGTAACAAAAGTAGACACAAGGCTATTTGATTATTTCTCAAATAAAAACTACCCCATGGAACAGGCTTAATAGCTCATAGTGTAAAGACAGGAAACCAATTAAACATGTGTTTAAATCTCTTTCCAAACTAATGATCTGAAAAAAATAGTGCCACCTAGA